GTGGGTGGTGGAGAAGGGGCAGAAAAATGTTGCCTGACTGCTGCGGAGGCGGCTGGGCCCGGGCCTGTGCCCGCCCGCCTGTCCTGTCCTGCTCTGTCTAACTCCCTAATTACTGCTCCCCCTCCCCCAGTCCCTACTCCCACCCCAACCACCACATCAAAGCCAGTGATGCCCCAGCTCCATTAACCCCTGCCTCCCCACCAGCCACCCTATTCTACTCCCCTGCCCTACCCCAATTTGGTTCCCTCTGCCCTGTCCTGGACACTGCCCCTCCCACCTCCTCCCACTGCTCTCCGTCCCATTCCTTTTGGGAGGGGCAGGGGCTTTCCTTTCCCTGATGGACTTCACCACACAAGAGGGCTTCCTATTGATCAGGGCTGTGGGAGGCCAAAGAGTAGACACATTGAACCTCCTACTGGATCCCCTGAGGACAATCTGTGCCTTCTGCTCTCCCATACTGAGGTGGGGAGCACCCATGTGGAGGTGGGGGTGGGGGAGAAGAAGGAGCCTGTGGAAGGCCCAGTACCCCTTTCCTGACTCCCACCCCCCGTGGTACCCGGGGTTAGATTCTCAACAGGAGGTGGACTCATGCATTCTGTGTGGCCTTGGGCCACCTCTTATCCCTGGGGTTTGCTGGACTTCTTACTGTGAGAAGATGGGACCAGATGACCTCCAAGTTCTTTCTTGGTCTAATTTCTGAATTAAATGGAGAGCTCAGAGCTGGAGGAACCAGTCAAAGAGGCCAGGTGGAAAATGGAAGAACCCTCCCAGCAAACTTTCCCTCCCTCAGCTCCCTCTCAGGCAGTGCAGGGGAAGCACCTAAGGTCTCCTCCCATCCCACTGCAGGCAGGAAAGAGGGTGCAAGCTAGAAGACTCTTCCCCCAGCCCCAGGAACAGGATTCTGTGTTCCCTGAATGCCTCCTGCTCTGGCTGGCTGGGTGCCCTGCTGCCAGTCTCACCACGGCCTGGCTGCCTGCCCCGCCCTGGCCTCGTCCCCTCCACAGCTGCATTTCTTCATCAAAGTACACATTTGAATCCCCCTCGCTGAGCCCTGGTGATCAAGCCTCTCACTGACCTCCCCCCACCAACTCCTGGCTCCTGATGAGAATGGGCCTGGAGGGGGCTGCACCCCCCAGGAAGTGTCACAGTGCCAGGACTCTGGTGGGCTCAGGGCATGCTCTGGCCCAGATTGAGCCAGCCTCCTTTGGCCCCTGCCCTTTTCTGCTCACAGCCCCATTGTCTTCCTGGGGGAAGCTGCCAAGGCGGGAGGCCTGGAGGGTGGGGCTGGGTGACCACCCCACCCCCATCCCCACCGCACCCTGAGCTTGGCTGGGACCAGCAACAGGACTGCCCACAAAGGGTGAGGGGCCCCAGATAAAGATGGGATGGCAAAGGGAGGCCAGGCCCAGTCTGGGGTGGGGGTCACAGCTGGAAAGCCTGGGTTTCGGGAAGAAGCCTCATCTTTTCCTTGCCTTCGTATGGGGCCAGATATGAGGCTATCTTAGGCCTGTGGCTCCGGTTTCTATAAGGGAGGGGGGTGAAAGGCAAGGTGAGGTGGGGGAACAGCGTGAGATTGGGTGGTGTTTTTCCCAGTGGAACAACCGGAGGGTTAGTTTCTTTCATGGAAAACATAAAAAAGAAAGAGGAAAGAGGAAGAGAGAAAAAGGGAAAGTGATTTGGCTGCTCTTTGAAAGTGAGCTCTTTTCAACGTACACCAATTGAAGGTGTAAAGATGGGTCAGGCATTAAGAAGAACTTGGGGGGAGGGCAGGTCAGGGAACAGGTGGAAGGGAGCTGGTGACTAAGAAGCTATAGCCTCTCTCTCTCTGCCTCATTCTCAAGATGGGATCTGTCAGAGCCAGAGCATGTGCTGGTCAAGATGGCCTCAGGACAGCCTGGTCAGTGTCCTGGAATCTGCGATTCTGAGATCACAAAGATAGGGTTACAGATGTGAGAGACAGGCAGAGAGGCTGGGGCAGAGTTTAGAAAGCATAAATTGCATCAGGGGAAGAAGGGGGAGAGGGAAAGGAGTGAGAGAGAAACCTCTGGAACCTGGAGCCAGGTCCCTGAGCCTATTCCAGGGCCAGGGCCACTCCCCTCCAGGACCGTCCTTTCCTAATCAGGACAGTCCTGTCATTCAGAGATCCTGGGGTCCTCTCTGTTCCCAGTCTGGCTGCTGCCAGAATGTCAGAGTGGGCTGCAGTGGCCTGTTGCAGGTCTAGCTGCTTTCTGGCCCACCACTAGCGCCCTGACCTGGCCAGTATTCTCTGAGAAGTAGAGAGAAGAGGGCCAGCAAGTAGGTCCTAGACATCAGAGAACAGCCTGGAAGTTCCTGGCCTGAAAAAGCTCCTAGCCAAAGTGAAGCTGGGGGTGGGGGGCAGGGGGTAGGGAGTGGAATAAAGAGGGGCCTCAGGCCACCTGGCATTCTGGGTCTGGCCCACCAGCCTAATCCTGATCTTGGAGGGCAATGATGGGTGTGGTGGGAACAGGAGTGTAAGCGAGCAGAGTCAAAGATCCTGAGAAAGGGAATCTGGGTTCAGACCAAAGGAATGAAGTATCAGAAACAGACAGAGCAGGGTGAAGGGGCCAAGGCAGGCGGAGAGGCAGGTTCTATCTGAGAAGCATCTGAGTGAGGCAGTCTCTGGACACCTTATCACCCCAGCCCCTCACTCTTCACCCTGCTCGCCCTGCAGCTGTGGCCATGAAGGCTTCTGTGTTCTCCCACACCTGCCCTCCTCACCTCCTCCCCCACTCCTCGCTTCCCAGCTTCAGGGTCAGTCTCCAAGGGACCCGGTCTCCCTCCTTCTGGTTTGGCCCTCACCCAGCAGCCCCTCCTGAACAAAGGAACCCCCACAGATACAAATCCCAGAAAGGTGAATCAACCAATCAGCAACACTCCATAAAACTGTCCCCAGCGCTTTTAGCCTCCAGGGCCCCAAAGGCAAGGCTCTGCCTTCTAGGACCAGGGAAGAGAGACACAAGAGGCTACGGTTGTTGAAATGCAGTGGTTGCCCAATGCTTGGGATGTATTGGGAGCACAGAGGAGGCAAGGGAGGGAAGGCAGAGGGACAGCTTCATGGAGGAAGTGTCGTTTTAACTGGAAGGACAAGAACAATGTGGACAAATGGAGAGGGAGGGGAGGGAAGGCAACAAGTGTCAGGGAGAAACCCCTGTCTCCATACCCTGAGAAAGGGAAAAGTTAAGAAAAGTGCTTGGAGAGCAAAAGATCCCTTTACAAAGCTTTGCGTGGGACCCTGGATTTTAAGCTTAAACGAATCCCCCTTTGCACCCATGAGGTCTCTGCCAGGAGAACCTGGGGTATGGAGGAGGGAACTTACATTTAAGGGGTGCCTCCCAATGCCAGATCATTTTGCAGATCATCCCACCTAATGCTACTACCAAGCCTGCCAGATAGGGGGATTGCTTCCCCGTGTTATGGTTGAGACGTTGGGGGACGTCAGAAAAAAAGTGACTTGCCCAAGGTCACAGACTTAACGAATGGAGGAGATTAGATCTCAGGTCTTTTTCAAAGCTGCTACTGCATTCTGCTAGAACAGGATCAAAGGACGCGTGTTGCCTAGCCGGGACCTGGGTCGTCCTCGACTTGCCCGCTCACTGACACCCCCGAGGGACGCTCTCCCGCACCACGGAGGAGAGACCTCGGCCAGCAGCTCCCCGTGTGGGCACCCTTCTCTCCATCTCTCCCAGAGGAGACGGATCCGCCTGCTCGCCCCCCCCCTCCGTCCAAATCCCGGGATGGGGGAGGAGCGGAATGGAGAGAATCCAGCCAATAACGCGGCGATATGCAAATAGACAAGACCCTGCCTTCTTAGGATTGGCTGACGCATCAGCGATACTGTCCAAGTCCCGCCTCTCCGAACGCCAAGGCTATTCCGGGATGGTTTTTGCTGCTCTGGAGACTCAGCAGGAAAAAAAGTCAGCGGGATCCAGATACCCGAACGGTCCCGACTCGGCACCCGCCTTCCTAGCCCCTGCTCCGGCACCCCAAACCCGAAGTTCCTGCAGCCTTCGCTGCCGAGGTGTCTGCTCTGGCTAGGGCCACTTTTGGAAAGACGTGCTCACCCCTTCGTAGGCCAAGCCTCCCTCCCGCCCACCGGACCCTTCCCGGTTCCCCGCACCTCCTGAGCTGCACTTTTACTTTATCTTTGACCCCCCATCAGCAAGTTCCCCGCGCCTGGGTCCCTTTCCTGCCTTTCCTCCTCTTCTTAACTCGGGGG